AATGGATTATCAAAGTGTGGATATTAAGAGTGTACTCCAAGTCGGTTCTGGTGACTTTGAAATAGTCTTAACCAACAATGTGACTGAAATTAAAGTAGAAGACTTCTCTGTGCAGGCGCCACTCCATGTCCAACTAGATAAGCCCATTTTTGTCACAAATTACTCTGACACACCACTCAATTTTGTCACAATTCCCAAAAGCGATTACAACAAAATTGTGGTGTTGTCTAAGAACAGGAGAGTCACTGTGAATAATGGAGAACTCAGTTGTGACGGACAAGGACTTTTGCCACAAAGCCAAAGCGATTGTCAAAGCGTTGGTCTTGTGAAACACTATTGTTACTCTTTAAATAACAAATTCTTCTTAGACCAGACTTATACCCATCTCGACTATTCGTGTCCTTGTCAAGATCAGGTACAGACAACGTGTCACTTAAAAATAGACAAGACTACCTTACAATTCAATATTAACTTTCCAGTCACACAAGTCTTTGTTGATAACACTGTGACACTTCTCACAGTCGGAAAGTCGTTTTTGCTCACAACAAATTTGCAACAAGAAAATTCTGTGACAATACGTGGCACCAATAACAACGTGTTTGTACAAACAGAAAACATCTTTTCGATAACAAGTGACTACCTCAACATCATATCACTTCCATCAAGAAATATCACATTCTTGATACCAACAGCAAAGAGTAAAACAAAGACAAACACAGAAAGTGTCGATGTAACTATGACGGAAGACACTTCGAATTATTGCACGTCATTATTCATCAATCAAACAACAAAATGTCTCATTTGTGGAGAACGAACAGCTCAAGATGGAATGTGTGAAGCCCGTCCCACAGTCGAAAAATGTGAATTGTACGACCAAAAGGGGTTTTGTGTCACATGTGAAATTGGGTACTTTCTCAAAGTAACAGTAGCTGAAAGAATGTGTGTTCCCTGTTCTGTCAATTGTGAACGGTGTGACGAAACAAAGTGTGTTCTTTGTGCAAATGGTTATAAAGTGTCACAACTTGGCAAATGTGAAAGTGTGATTAATTGTGAATTTTACACACTTGGGATGTGCAAAAAGTGTCTTTTTGGTGACAAAACAACGGATTACCAAATTTGTGACACTAAATGCGACACTTCTTGTTACGAGTGTTATTCCCTCAAAAGTGAAGGGATTGTTAATGAGCGTTGTGATGTCTGTAACATCGATAACCAGTACATGAAAAAAGACTCAAGTTGTATATTAAGTCAATGGAGTGACATAGTATCAAACAATCACGTTGTACAATGTACAGAGGGTACACAATTTGTGAATGAAAAATGTGAAATGTGTCCTTCACGGTGTTCAAAATGTGCCGACTCAAATTGTATGGAATGTAAAGATATCACAGATGTATTAATTGATGGTGTTTGCTATGAACAAACAACGACTTTGTGTCAAATAATAACCGATGGCATTTGTAAGAAGTGTGACACAAACCATTTTTTTAATTACAAAACGCAGAGATGTGAAAGTATTGATGAGTCATGTCAAGTTGCTTTGTATGATGGAAAATGTCTCAAATGTGTCAACAAATTTGATTATGTGTCTTCTGATGGTAAGAAGTGTCTTTCAAAACAAAGTGATATGACTTGCGAATATGCCGAATACGGCGTATGCAAGCGGTGCATCAATGGGTATTACCTTGACGAGACAAAATGTGCTCCATGTATCGAAAAGTGTATTTTATGTTCAAACAAGTCAAATTGTGAGCAGTGTATTTCCAATTATATATTTAATACGACATCACTCTCTTGTGAAACATTTTCAATTCCACATTGTCTGATATACAAAGGATATGCATGTGATAAATGTGAAAATGGGTATTACAAGACGAATGGCAAATGTTCAATATGTGAAAATAATTGTGAGTATTGTACATCAAAAGAGAAGTGTATATTATGTTCTTCTGATTATTATCTCCACGAAGATTCTTGTTATCATTCCACTGATAACAAAATTCAGAATTGCACATCTTTTAGTCCAACTGGTTGTTTAAAATGTAGTTTGGGTTCTTATTTATCCGACAACATATGTTTGCCTTGTGATTCGTTTTCATCAAATTGTATAGAGTGTGACTCCTCAACGCATATGTGTCTGACATGTACAAACACTTACATATTAATCAATGGTACTTGTACCTATTATGAAAAGATAAAGCACTGTATTCGTGAACGAGATAACAAATGTGATGAGTGCTCCTTTTCATATGTGTTAGGAAAAGATAAAGTGTCGTGTACATTTCAAATAGTAGGATGGGTGGTGTCTCTTTGCATCATCTTTTTCTTCATTCTACTTGCCATTCTCATCTTCTTAATTTTCATGGTATTTGTGGCCTTCAGCAACCACAACGAAAAGGTGAAACAAATGAGGACTAATGGCATTTTCCCTTTAAAATACTGTGATGTGCAATTAACACCTTACCCAACAACTCCATCACTCCTCACAAGTACAACATTATTAGAATATCAAGACAAACTTCAGATTCACAGAGAATATATTGTCGATTTTTATATCGGAAATAAAGATCAGGAAACAGTCACTATTACCTTTTTAGTTACCAAAGATACTCGATACAACGTTTCATTTGATCCAGAAGTACTTGTATTAAAGTCAAACAAATGTTGCCAAGTCAAAGTACTGTTGATGCCACTCTGCACCTTCTCTTCCCAAATTCCATTAACTTTTCCAGTCTCGATCAACAACAAGAGTGTGACACCCTTAGAATTTAAAGTCGCTGTTACTTCAGCAGAGAGTTTGAGTCTTGACCCAACCTTGTTAGACTTCAACGAGACGTTGAAGACCAATTTCACAGAAGATGTTTGCATCGGGAGGTTTAACAACAAATCAGTGAAAGTGAGGAACATTGGGTTTTTCGACTACAAACAGTCTGAAGAAAAAAGATCGTATGAAGATCCCTTAGTCATCTTAGAGGCATTCCCAAACAACCCGTTTTTAGTGAAATACTTTGGGATGGTAACAATGAAAAGTGCTCGGTACTTAGTCACTGAATATGTTCCTCTCGGTACTATGCAAAATGCCATCGACGCAAAAGCAAACTACCCATTCAAATTGAAAGCTCGGATCTGCCAAGACATTACCACCGCCTTATCTATTTTGCACACACACAACTTTTTACACTTAAACATCAAACCTTCCAACATTTTACTTCTTGGAGAAGACTTGTCCGACCCTCAAAATATTCCAGTCGCTAAATTGGCTGACGCCGGTTATAAGTATCACATCAACAAATTCTTCAATAAGAAAATTGAAGTCGTGGAAGACCCAACTTACTTAGCTCCAGAAATTTTAAACGGTCAAAAACTTACACAAAAAACTGACATATATTCCCTTGGAATGGCAATGTATGCTACCCTTGCAATGGCCAATCCCTTCTCCCCAATGGAGTTTAAGCACTCTTGGACAATTGAAAAGTTTATTTGTGTTGGCAGACGTCCTCCTTGTTTGATTGGGATGGATCCAACACTTTTTGACATCATCGCAAATTGTTGGGAACACTGTTCTGCAGATCGGCCTGTGGTGAATGAGGTGCTTCAAAACATTAGAGGCATTACTTCTCATTTTATTCAGTGAATCTTTTGTATTAATGATCTATTATATTATATAGTAATATTATAATAAATATTGATTCTATTCAATATAGATTATTGTTTTAAATTTCTAGTTAATAATTCTTTAATTATATTTCTGATTAGTAAAACTATTGATTTTAATTAATATGTTATTATTCCAAATACTAGAAATATATTATAATATTTATTAATAATATACTATTAAATATATTAATTTAGAAAAATACACATCCTCTAAATTATATTTAACTATATATGAAACAATTCAAACTAATTGGGTAAAAACAGCCAAAATTCACAGAAAATTGCCTTTTCATGCGTGGATGTGAAGCTTAATAAAACTGTCAACCGCCTGTTTCACAAACAGTGAAGAGTTCTGCGACATTTCCTTAATCTTATTCCGGAATGTTTCGTCCCCAACCACACACTCTTTGACTCTTGGAAACATCGAGCAGATCCTCAGAAGTATTTTCAATGCATTCGCTGAAAGATATTTCGTGTTTTCCTCCACGGCTTTCATCAAATAATTAACGTCGAACATGGTCTCCTTCAATGCGCTCGTGAACACCGGTTTCGTGCATTCCAGTATCACAACAAGTCCCGCTTGTACAAACGACATTTCATACGTCCCCGCGCTACTGAGAATCCCAAACAAAAACGGTATTCCATTTTCATTCACAAACTGTTCCAACCCTTCGCTGTTGATGATCTCTTTCAATAAAAAACGGAGCGTCCCATTCACCTTCTCCCACCCAAGTAACGAACGCACATTTTGTTTACAATACGCGTTGACCTCCACCTTCTTGACTGGCTTTCTCTTCACCGCTTGTTTCGAATATTTATTCACAATCCCTCGCAGCAAGTCCCGGTTGTTTTTCGAATACACCTCTTGCGAAAATCGACTGATCCCATCGTTCACACTCCGTTCGCCGTCCACCATCCTTTCAGCAAGTTCAACCACTTCCGTTGATGTCATCTCTCGACACCTCCGTTGATACACTGCAAGGCTATTCGCTATCGGCCCACTCCTCTCAATGCTCGTTATCGGCATATCAACTGCCTCAACTTTCTCACCATCCACACTCACTCCCAAAGAGCTTTTAAGTAACTGCGTTAGACTCGCGGTCTTTGTGTTTTGTGTCGACAACGACGTGTAGAGCTTTGATATAAAAGAGTACTTGACGTCGGTGTCGTTGTCGTCTTGAAAGTAGTCAACTAATTTCAAAAAGAGAAGCATGTCCGTCTGGACCGGGTTTGTCATCCGAATCCTCCGTTCAACGTTTTCCTGTTTCACTGCTATCCTCGCAACTTCCACATTCTTCTCCTTGACACCTTCAATCGTTTTCAACCGCATTTTAACAGCATTGAACACATCCTGTCGTTTCACATCGCTGTCAGACTCAAAGAGCAACGCTTCATGATAAAACGCTCCCCACGCCTTTTTAAGGGCTTCCATCTGATTCGAAAAATCAACAACAAACACCTCGTCCTTCCCCTCACACTTTCGGTCTAACCGCCCAAGTGTTTGTACTGCATGCGCACCATTCAGCACTTTGTCAACGTACATACACATCAGTCTCGGCTCATCAAACCCCGTCTGTAATTTGTCGGCAGCAACAATGATTCTGATATTCTTCGATTGATCCTTCAGTAATTCACAAATGTGTTTCGAGTCGCTGTACGTGTTGTACATCGTGTTCAGCTTCTCCTCACTTTCCATCACCCCGTCGATGTCCGTTTCACTGAACGTCCCAAACACGCCAAAGTCCTTTCCTTTCTCTGTTATCACGTTCCGCAACATTTGCGTATACTTAATCACGCTTTTCCGTGTTCGACACACCAACATCGCAATCCCTTTGAATTTGTCGTTGTCTTTCTGTTCCGCAAGATTCGAAAAATGCTCGATGATAAATTCCGCTCTTCTTTTCATCAAACTTTCCGTTGTTCTGATCTCGTCCGAGAGACACCGCGCGACTTGTTTCCCGTCCGTAATCATTTCAATGCCTTTCGTTTTCCCCGTCAAATTATACATCTTCGGCACAACAGAGTAGTTCCTCAGTACATTGAGCACCAAACCCTTTGTTTCACTTTCTGCTAACGAAAAGCAGTGGAACGGCCTTATAAGTCCGTCTCTGTGTGTTCCGAAGAGCCTCAAGCACTTCTGTGTTGGTGTTGCAGTGAATGAAAAGTACGTTATATGTCTGTTTTGTCTTTGTTCCCCCGTGAGCATCGTATGTAGTTTTCTCGTTGCCGCTGCGCCATGGGACCGATGCGCTTCATCCGATATAATCGCGATATTCAAGTCGTTTGGGAGTTCCGTTTCGACAAACGCGAACTTCTGGAGCGTTGTACAGAACATTCGCGTCTCTTTGTCTTGCAGCGCTTTCTGGAGCTTCGTCGAATTCTTCATCCGTTTCACTTTGACCCCGTCGGACACGGCAATGACGCTTTTCACTGTATTACAAAGCTGTGTGTCTAAATGAATTCGATCATTCAATACAATGATTTTGTCAAACCGTTTTCCGTCGTCCAAGTTATACAAAAAGTGCGAAAGGACTGCAATGGTCATCGACTTCCCTGACCCTGTCGCGTGTTGCATCAAGTAATTGTTCTGCGGCGTTTGCGACTGAAGGTCTTCGAGAAGTTTTTGAAGACAGACCATTTGGTGGTCTCGCGGTTCCATCTGAAAACTCTCGAAGATCCACGTGACGTCTTTTGCGACGGCGGCGTCGGTGTACCGTGGCGGGCTCGGCCGCTTGTCGGGAAACTGTTCCATTTTTACTTTTTGAGTTTTGCATCTCAAAAACCCTTTTCACTTTTTTTTGTTGATGAAAGTTTGAGTTTTAGGGCTTAGTGTTTCTTTTAATCAAAAACGTCTTTGTAAAAATCAATTACTTGAAGCTGCATTCAAAATCTGTGGTATACAAACACTTGTATGGAACAACTTATTGATATTGAATGAAACGGTTTGGGTTAAGACTTTGAAAGATAAGCGGAAGTTGTGCTATTTTTCAGATCCAAATAAAGTCAAAGTATTTTATTAAAATGGTATTACTTTTTTATAGTTAAAATATAATTCCATTCTACTTTTTGTATAACATTTTGTTGGTTTTGTTATAAATGTTTTAGGTTTTTTTTTGTCTAAAAACCTCAAAAAAAATCGCGCTTTTAAAGTAAAAAACTATTTTAAAACTGAACAATTTAAGAATTTTATAATTAACCATCTTTTTTAATAGTATTACAAACTATATAAAGCTATAATTGATACAACTGTTGTGATTATTTTCCAAAAATAAATCAAATTGTTACAATCTGGGCAATAGTATTTCCATGGTAAAAAGAAGTTCATTACCGAAGAAAATGCCATTAAAAATCAATTAAAAAAGGATTGCCACAAAAACCTGAAATTAGGACAAAACAATAGTGAGAGGGGTGGTCATTCTCGGAAAAGTCATTTGCTCATTTTTACAATCTCAACCGTCAGAGCGCTCTGAATGGCAATAAGACTGATAATTAGAATCTTTAAAAAACTATTCATTATGACAAAGAAGACCGTCCCTCTGAGTCAAATCTTCGAACATGCCGTCAACGAACTGAACAGCGCACCTCAAATCAAAAGTTTCGACACTCTTTCTAAGATCGTCCATGACATCCCCCAAAGCGCAGCCCCTTTAAGAAACCAAATTGTGACTAAGATGAAAGCATTTTATAACAACTTCCTCCCAAGTTTGGAAATGTATTATGTGTTGTGTTTAATGGACCACATCGTTAAGAGAGAAAACAACTTCCGACTTCAAATGGTTAACCCTGATCTGTTGGAGTGGTTCGAGTGCATTGCAAACTTCGAAGTTTGTTTTACAATACTTTATTAGTTGTTTTACTATTACAGATAGATTCATTGCACCTCCATAGATTCATAACCACGTGCGTTTGTATTGTAGAATTTGTATCACACAATCATTTTCGCATTGCCAATTCACAAACTCACATGTAGAAATCAAAGAAGAAGAAAAGGATTGACATTGTCACGGACAAAATGATGCGTATCGTGCAGACGTGGGGCGTACTCTTTCCAAAACAACTTTTCGACTACACAAATATGTACATGAAATATAAGAAGAAAGGGGTGACCTTTGTCTTACCCGAGCCAACCGACTTTGAACTGTATATACACCCCGACAACGGGCTTGGAAATTGTATAGAAAAAATCACAGAGGCTATACTTATGATCGACGACGCGTTAGATCATATTTATGACACTCACCACATCAAATCTGCTAAAATTATAATCCAACACGCTCAGATGGTTAAATCACAACTGGAACAATATTCCAAGAATTTCAAACAGTCAAACGAAATCGACGAACAGCAGAGTTTCCAAATGATCGAGTCGCTCTCCCTCATCGAGTCCAAAATCGCGAAACTTGAAGGCGCAATTCAAATCGTTAATCCTGACAGCGAAATCACAAAAACAGTTTCGATGCTTCAATGCGACAAAATGGACCAATCAACACAACCACAAGGAGTTAGAGTACACTCGCTTACATCTTCCTCAAAAACTGAATTCAAAGATACAAACTCAATCAACGACGAACTGGTCGGTTTGGTCGACTTGAAGCCAAAGCGCACGTCTAAGGTTTTCTCGTTTATTGGAAGTGTCAGAAAGAGAAGAGCAACTGCGTGTGTCGTTGACAAAGACGGCTGAATGCTTATTTTTATTATTCATTTCTTATTTAATTAGTTTAATTATAATTTTACTATCATTTTTATGTACTAGAATGTTATTATATCAAAGCAATAAATAGAAGGATCAAAATGCAAATAATTGTACTATAATATTATAGTATAATAAATTAATATTTTCTGTCTAATTAATTTAGCTAAAACTTTTGGCTAAATGTTTTTGACAAAAAACCATGGGATTAGTTTTTATAATAATTTTTACTTACAATAATGGTTTCCACATATCTTTTATCACACCAAAATGAAAAACTGACTTTCTCATTCAAAATGTGTTCAAAACGAAAACACCACTCCTCAAAAACAAATTAAGTTTATTACAATATGATAGGAGCAGTTTCTATGTCTGTTGAACATGAGCTTTCGAAAATTAAGGACAAGCACGTTCGGAATTACTTGAACTCTATCGGGCTGACATCTAAAGCCAATTTTCTTTCGAAAATTGAGCTATTTACCAGCTCTCTTTCCAAAAATGTTCAATCTGAACTTCTCTCTCTTTCACCAAAAAGCACTGATCTTTTTCCAGTTGACAAAAGTTACTTCGAACGATACTCAAAACTCAAGAACCTTTCAAGATCGCGAAATGATGACGAGATTTCGAAATTTATCGGAACGATCACCAAAACAGATCTTGAGATTCTTGCTTCAGAATATTTTTGTGGAACGATGCTCTCTCAGATTGTCCGTGATTGTGCTGTAATGAAACTTTTACCTCCAGATTTGTCAAAAGTAGCTGCAGAGACGCTTTGTAATCGCATGGAGTTGTCAATCAGGGTGCAACAGTGCCTCTGTAAAAAGCCACAAAGCGAAAATAAAGAAACTATAAAAGTCAATGATGTCAAAGCGTGCGACGAGAATACCTGCATTTCGGAATGCATGAGCTCATTAACGCAGTGGACGAAGACGACAAGTGCAAAGTTACTCTTTGACACTGACACAGCCGAGTCTTCCGTTCAATGTTTGCGCTCTGAAATAGAAACCCATCACAAAATTGCGGTTCTTTGTTTCGCCTCAGACGGCACTTCGTTCGGCGCGTTCTTCGAGAAAGTTCCAGGAGATTGCGAGATTGACAATTCTCATTTTATTTTCTCTGTTTATCGGAACGGCTCAAGACATTTAAAGAGGTTTAGTCAGAGAAAAAACATAAAAGCGTGTGCTTCTTTTTTGGAGAAGAAGTCCAATTTAATGGTGTGGGGAAATACAGTTGGTTATATCTCCCTTGGCTCATTGGGTAAGGAAAAGAGTATTTGTTGCTTCCTTTCAAATACGTATGACTGTGAAGATGAAGACTTGACTGGGAATAACTGGGTTGCCTTTACGATCAAGCGTGTGGTCATCATACAAGTGTCATGATGCTTCTGGTTGATAATTGTTTTGTTTAACACTTAAAATAACGCCCCTTTTTTTGTTTTGGCCTGTTTTTATCGGGATATTAATACAATTTTTGATGATTTTCCTTTTTTAGCTGGTGTATTGTTAATGCACATAATATAAACTCTAAAAAAACGGAAATTAATTTAATAAACTCAAGATTTCCCGATTTTTAGACCACTTGAATTTTGTTCATTGTTATTTAAAGTGTTAATGCTTTTTGTTTTTGAAAAAGGTCTTTAAAACAAAATATATTTTGTGTTTTAAAACATTTTTGATATTCAAGAATATCTTGTTTTGTATGGGGTTTTTAATATGCAAATTAAAAGTTTTAAAAGTTGTTTACCCCATTTTAGTTTATATTATAGCAATTATATCAGTTGATATAAAAACAAAACAAATAATCGAGTCAGTCTTTTAACGTTGTCCTTTCTCCAAAAGTTGTCATTTTTGCAGAAAATAGACAAAAAATCCTTTAAATAATTGGGATTTAGGTAATAAATCATAAAAACGGTAAAAAAATTGAAACAATGATTTTCTAGCGTTTCGAAACATTTCCCGATATATTCTAGTTATTAATATCTAAAAACGGGAACAACATTTAGAGGATGAATCTTTAATATGTTTTGACAAAAAACAATTTGTTTTATATCATAACATCATAATTTAAATAAAAATGGTTTTACAAGCTAATAAGATAATAATAAATTACTATTTTTTTATTGAAAAACAAAAATAAAAATGGAAACTCCATTTTTTTAATTGTATTAACTTTAGTTATTATTTAACAATTCATAAAACACAATTATTTTTTAATAAATACCCAATTGATTCAATTAAAAAACAACAAGATAATTAAAACGACAAAAAGATTTAAACTAATTTAATCACCCGAAACAATGCGAAAATCTATAAAGTAACTTGTCATTGTAACATTTTTATTGATAAATGGTTTTCTACAAAACTGCCTGTTTTTTATAGTTTTATTTTAGTTATTATTATTATTACATTATAATAACAATACCAATAAAAATAATAATTATAACAATTTAAAATAAAAAGTTTATTTATTTCAAATATTCCAATAACATTAAACAGTGCCAAATTGTCTTTTTTTGGAAAGAACAAATCATGTTGCATTGAAAACGATAACAAAAAAAACAAGATAAAACTGTACCCAAAACTTCTAAACCTAATATTTGTGAGCAATGGAAGTCGAGATGGATACCGCACAAGCGAAGGCTGAAATGGTGAATAAAGTTGAGATAAGTTACAACCAACAGCCGAGTCTTTATGATAACAGCAATACAGTTTCTTCTACAGAGAACAACAGTATTCTATTACTTTCATCGATATTTTTCGTCTTAGGTTTTGTGTTCTGTCCAGGCTATTTTTGTGTTTCATGTATATGTTCTATGAGAGATGGGACAAATTGTTGTGCTCGTTGGTTTGGTGCTTGTTCCTGTTTATTCTTTATTCTTTTTGTTATTATCATACTTATAGTAATTGCTGTTGTTGTAATCGTGCTGCTCACTTTAGTCTTCGGTATAGCTGTCTTTGCATTTTTCCCTGTGCCAGCCACATCTGGATATGGAGAATTTCCTGTGTGACATTAAATCTTTGCAACTTTAGACGTTCATAAATCATTATGTTATATTTATTTATGTTTTCGTGTGTTATTTAAATAATTTTTATATTTATAATATATATATTATAAAATATAATAAATAAAATATAATAAACACTAAATAAATAAATAACAACAAATCAATAACAAATAATTGTCTGTACATTCACTCAGTCATTTGTGAGTTAAAAGTGGATGTTTACAACACGTGGGGGAGTACTAGTTTTTTCGGAGTATCCATGTTTAATACTCTCTTCGATTTCGGACGTCCTAAATGATTCATTACTTTCCTCTTCGATCACTTCGAGTGTTTTTGGTGTTTTTTTCTTTTCAGCAAATATCCTTAAAACGACAGGACGCTTGTTCTCCTCTTTTTTGTGTGGGGAGAGAGTTGACTTTCTGACACAGATTGATGAGTATGAAGTTTCTAAGTGAAAACCATTCACAACTTCTTTCTCTTTCTCGTCCACTTTACTCGCCTTCTTGTCTTTCTTGTCACATTTCTTGAAGACAGAACCTAACGCCCCCCAACTCGTTGCAAATCCTTTCTTCTTTGGAACCACAGAACTTGGTTTCACTTCTTTTGGTTCAAGTTCGTCAAAAGGAGACACTCTGAGTAAGTTACTTTCTCGTTCGCTGAGTGAGTTTTGTGACTTTGAGAGTCGGCTTTCTCTTAAAAAGGTCAATACGTCAAGTTCCTTCTCGTCTTCTTGTTTCTTCAATTCTTCAAGATGGAGAGCCAAGTCGTAGTTTTTGATCTTTTTCATCATTAAAGCCTGCTTGTAATTTTCTATGAGCGTCTTAACACGGTTCAACTCTGACTCTTTCTTTTTCGCTTCTTCTAACGTCGCACTGAAGTACATCTGAAAGTTCTTTGCGAAGTTGGAAATCTTTTGTAACACGTCGTTGTAGACCAAGAAATCTTCCAAACTTGAATTTGGGATCTCAAGCGCCTTCATTAATTGGACACTGACGTCTTGTGTTAAGTTTCGTTTGATAGGAACTATAGATGTTTGTATAAGACTAATTATGTCATCATAGTCGTGTCTGAACGGCTCAAATTTTTGTGTTGCATTGGTGTGTGCTGTTTTGATCACTTTGTCCAATATATCGACCGTTTTCTTCTCAACTAATAAACTAAGGTCAGAGTCGACTGTTTGTGACGTTGGTGTTATCAATGAAAGAAGTGTTTCTCCCACAAAAACTATGTTGTCCACACACTCCTCCACTGAACTCCCAAATTTACGAAGTAAGGCTCTTTTGCTGTTGAGATAGGGTATAATAACACATTGAATGAAAACCCTGACCAATTCCGAGAAACAGATCTCAACAAGGTAGTGGTCGTCCTTCTTTTTTTCAAGAGTAGATTCTGTTCGTAAAATGTAGTTAATAACATCTGCATATTCGTTAGGAACAAGATTTGTGTTCACACTGATACAATCTAATATCCTTGAGACACACAATTTGAGGATGTTGTACGACTCACTCGACTTCTTGAGCATTTCTTCTGTGAATTCGGATTTGTTTGTATTCAGGAACTTGGGCTCGAGTTTTGAAAAAAGTTGTTTTTCAAAAAGGAATTTGTTGAGCGAAGCAATTTGAAAAGGTTCCATATAAGTCAACGAATAGACTCTATTGAAAATGGTGAAAAACCGGTTGAATTCCATTTCGCTCTGATTTCTGGTGTTTGGAAGAAACTCTTGTTTGTATGCCCAGTAGAAAAGTTCTCTTAAGCGATTTTGTGACTTGAAGTAGTTGACCACAATCGTTGCGTTTCTCAAACACAGAGTGTCATCAATATCGTACATCAACTAGTGGTTATTTCAAAGAAAACAAAACGTGGTTTTGGTAGTAACAAACATTCCGGCAAATTGAAAGGAGAAGGCCAGAGTCACAATCGAGAAGAAGTTGCTCCAATACGCTGGTATCAATCATTGATTTCTTTAGAATGAACAAAAAGAGATTCTCTGCACCTATGCTGACTTCAATATCTTTTTTTCGTATCTGATTGGATGAAGTTAAAAAATATCGAGACAAGAAAGACTAAATTTGAAACAACTGCAAATGTTTTTATTATTCAGGTTTGCCGGAAGTTCTTGTTGTTTTTTCGTAATGTAACAGTCCATCTTCAATTATAAATAATACAACAAAAAGTTTTTTTATTTGTTTATATTAAGTTTTCGGTTAATTGTTATACACTTTTTTCTAAGATAAAAGATAATGTGGATTAAACACCCTTTTTGGGACAAAATAAAATCAAATGGTGCAAGCGAGTTGGATTTGCAAACAATTTGGAGGAACAAAAAATTGGTAATAAAATTATCAATCCCAAAATAGACCTGTACTCACCAAAAACATCTAATATTTTGCTCATTAATATAAAAGAAATTGAGAATTGGAAAAAATAATAATTCTTTATTTAATAACTCTGTGTATTTCTTATTCCATCATTTGTAAAATTTACTAGATATTATCAGCATTTTTAGAATCTGGTAATTCAATTATACGTCAAAGATGGGTGTCATTCTGTGTTTTAAAATAACATTTTTTCTAGAACAGAAGGAGTATGATATAAATAACGTATAACCATTTGATGCCGAGAAGGAACCGAGGGGTTAAGACTATAAAAACGGGAGTTTCAAAAAAGAAAAATTACACCTTAAGTAAAACTACATTCAGTTAGTCGACTGCGATTGATTCAGAGCCCAATCTCTATGGTTATTTCACACAGATTAATAAATTTTCCCGATTAATATAAATAACGAAATGTAAAAAACAAATAAATTTTTTAAATTGTCTAATTGTTAAATTCAGTTTTTGTAAGGAAATTATTTAAACTTATTATAATTAATAGTCAAAACTATTAAATACTAATTTACATTTATTTTACAAAGTTTATTATTATATTATTATATTATTATATTATTATATTATTATAAATTTATTATTTGGTGGTTTAAAAATAAATCTTAAAGAGTGTTAACGTGATAGACCACTTTTATGTGGATGGCTTTGGAAATCTTACACATTTGTGTTGTAATTGATATAAAATTTACCTAAGAGTTTACAAAAAAATACGTTTTTTGGACCGAATTCATAAAAAACCGATTTTTTTGAAAGTTAAAACAGAAAAAACAAATTTTATTTTTAGTAAAAGTCATCTTTTACTTTTACCATTTAAATGAATTTGCCTCAAAAAAAAACAATTTTGTTAAAAATTTTAACACTAAAGTTTTTTATTAATTAACTTTAATTTATTTAATTAATTGTAAAACTATATGTAATCAAAAAAATATTGAAATTGAAAAATATTATTTTTTTATAAAATATAATTTGTCATTAAATACTATGGTATAGTTAACTGTGGATAGGCTGAAAAGGTGTGGATGGTAAATATAGATAGACAATTGTTATTATTATGTGTTAAATGAAATGAGTAACATGCATTGTTTTTTTAGTGGTTTTTGTTGGTATTTGCCGTATAGCAATATGTTATAAATTTGAGCAATTTACAATTGTTATATAATTAAAATTTAACTTATGGTTAAAATGCGGTATTTTGCCATTTAACTTTTTAAAGTTTTTAAAGTAAAAAATAAATTTAATTTAACTATGTTAATAGAAATTGTTTTTGTGATTATTTTGTCATTTTTATGTTCATAAATAATATACTATTGTAATATAATTTATTGTTATTAATTAATAGTTTAGTTTAGACATAAAACCTTTGTCTTTAACATTTTCAACAAAACCAGTATATTATTTAGGATGTAAAACCCTTCTTTATAAGTATAATTTGCGTAAACTAAAAGGGCTTTATTTAACAAATTTCAATTCCCAAATATTACTAGAGGCAGTCTGTTAACGTTGTTCACTCCCCAAACGTTGTTTTTTCGTGTTATATTATTAGAACAATAGAAAGTTCCCACAATAAACAAAACTGTCGGCAAAAAAACAATAATGTTTACCATATTAAACTCAGTTTTTTTTTTAGCAATTCCCGTTCTAAGAAGTGTTAACTCAATAATTAGTATTAACTTAACACACCCATTTTTCCTATTAATAGAGTTGTATAAATAAAAAATAGTACATCAAACCAAAATAAAAATAAGTGTTAATTTAAATAATATATGGTAATATTTAGTAATAATTGACATCAAAAATAACACATTCAAATTAAAATTTCAATCTTTTTTCAAAATCTGCCATATACTCAATGCATTCAGTTTCAGTTATTTCAACATTTATTGATTCGTATTTGAGAATATGATTAATTAAACACAAAGTTTTTTTTCACAATCATTAGTGAAAGGCTTTTGTTGTGGACATGGTATTTCAATTATAGTGGTTGGCAATCCAATGGCATCAAAGCATTTCATTTTAATCAAAAATGAGTTAAATTCGCTTTATACTTTATTACCGTCCCATTTAACTTTATTAGTAAAACAAATTAATGAATCCATTTTATAACAATTAAATTCATACTTATTTTCAAACAATTCTAATTTGTAAACAAGTGTAAACGAATGACCACCACCATCTTTAATATTAAAAGGTATAATAATAAACTTTTTGTCACAAATAAACTTGTAATTTTCACAAATATTGTAAACGCGAAGTGGATCACTTTCCATTAAAAAATTGATATTTAGCAATAGCAACGAATCTATTATAACCATTTGATCTTTTAAATACAAATTAGTTAAAAATACATTCATTTTTAACATTTTTATCTGTTAATTTAATAACAAGTACAATTGTGTCACAAAATTCAGAAACACACTCTTTTACAACATCACAGCATTTTTTGTTTATTTTGTTGTGTTTTATGTCAGTGTTTATAACAGAAATATTATTGTGATCAACGTACAAAAATGTGCTTTGAATAAACTTTTTGGTTATAACAAAGTTGTACAGTCCACACACGAATTGAATCACGTGTTCATATAGATCATCGTCCTATAAATAAGGATGTTGAAAAAAATCTCCACATTGTAGAAAACCTGCACTTTTCATTTTTGCCATTTTTTATATTATTTAAGACAGAAAAAAAATATTTTTTTATTGAACCACTTCCCAAAAAAACAGAATAAAAAAATAATAATGAAAATGTGTAAATATTTGGAATTTTTTATCTTTTTTGTTATTTTTCAACAAAAATTAATTTTTATATATTTTTAGATGTTTTTAAGAAAAGTCCCTTCAAACGAAATTGTGCTGATTTCGTGCACCTTTCGGGAACACTCAATCCTCACAATTTCGTCGCTTCGCTCCGTTATTTAGGTTTAATTATTATAGTGTTATTATTTTAAAGTGATAATTTAATTTTTTGTAAGTCTAAAATGACAACTACTATGGAACGTATTATTAAAGCCATTAAAAAGAAATGTGTTTATAATACAGAGATAAATAATCACGAAGTTGATTTATACTATAGAGTTGAATCTAAGGAATTATATCAAATTAAGGACGACACTGTCAAATTAATCAAACCCAGAGTTAGTAAATATAGTGATGATTGGGTTAGATATAGTATCAAAGATAATAATCATAAAGGAATGACATTTAGTAATAAACCACTAAGAAAATATCATGTTGATAAATTTAAATTTAAACCAGAATCTGAATGTAAAGATTTAGATGACTTTTTAAGTCAATTCATATAAACTCTCGTATTATATTATATATTTTTTAGTATTTCTTAGATGTTATCAGATGTTGTCATACTTTATAAGATTATTTCAAATTAATTATTTTTAATTTTTATTTTTATAAAATAATCTCAAATGATTTCAAACCAAAAATAGACTAAAATATGCTGGGAACATATAAAAGTCTATTATATAATTGGTTACGAATAAGTTGTCTTCATTTAGAATTTGATTTTTTAGTAAAGTTCTCTCTTGTTTTAATATCAAACGTCTTACTAAATTCGAAACTGGGTTTTAATTCTAGTAAGTTAAATGTATAAGATTCTCCCTCGTAGAGTTTCTTATATAATTCAATTAGATTTTTGTTATTTTCCAATAAATTGTTTGGAATACCTTTCATTCTCATATATGTTAAGCATGTTATTGTTTTTCATTCGTTAATACATTTATATAAACTTTCTTACCTAAGAAGAAAGATTCTTTTGAATATACATCCCCAGATAATTCATCAAAATCTGGATGCAATTGTTCTAATTCACTTCCTCTTAATGTTTTACCATATATTTCTTTATATTTTGTTCTAATAGTTCCATCTTATTTTTGTCTATATGCACTGAATCAGTATCTTGATAATATATATCTATATTTAAATCTTTTGCTAAACACATTACTTCATTCATTATTCTCTTACTCATACTTAATATTTGAACTCCTATAAGATTAGGAACATAGAAGTCATCAAATGGTTTATTTGTTTCAAAACATCTGATATTATCTGATATATCATACATAGATTTAACTAATGTAAAGTTCTTTTTAAGATATCTACCTGAATCGGATTTTCCTTTATTATTGATATATTTGTAAACCAAGTCATTTTTAATTGGTTTTTGAATCGTTTTTCCATATGAACTAT